ATCCATGCCGCTGTCTTTTTGATTCATGGATTTATAAAGGGAAAATACAGTAAAGCCAAGTTCAAACTAAAATCAGCTACTGAAACTTTCTTAGATGTATGGGATACTAGCTTTTAGTTCTAGCTCTCTGATAATATTGTATTAAACAATTGAAATGATTTGAAGATTTTGTGTTTTCACGTCTTCTTGCTTTTTTTAGGCAACATATTAATGAGCATTATTGGAAACTACTTCCTTTACTGTTCTTATCCATGCCTGCCTTTCCTACCACAACCCCAAAACCTTTCTATCCTATGTATTATAAGAGTAGTGTACCCAGTATCCAACATGACATTTTTACTGATATATCAAACCCAACTATTGCATATGCTGATTTATGTTTCATCTTATCCTCTTGCTGCTGTGAAAGTTTGCACAGGCAAGAGGCAGTCTCTTTAAAGCACTTCCTCCCTGTATTTTAAGCTATCATTTTTTTCCAGTGTTCAACTATAAATTTTTTCAGATAATTCTGAACAGATTATTCATTCATACTCTACTAACTGATGGCTAAAGATTATTATCAATTATTATTAATTAAATATATTGACAAGCCAGGTGAGTCATAATCTGAACATTCTTTGACTTCACATATTTTTGATACATCTTTGGTTCCTAAAGCTGTATAGTGCAGAGATAGACATGCTTGACAGGTAAATAAGTCAGCCACATCAATCATACAAAACCACAATAACAGTGCACAGCCAATGCATCAAGTGACTGAATTCCAAAATGCTTTTTTAATTGGTCTGCCTTTCCTACATGGCTTGAATGAAAAGTTTGAATCCTCTGGATTACTGTTAGAGGTATTAACTCTTCCAATCCCGCTGGAAACTGCAGTCACTATTCATGGCTTTTACAGTCAGAAAAAAAAGAGTGACATTAGCAACACACTCAAGTTATCCTTGGGAATTCTGATTTGAAGATTGTAACCCAAAATGGTGAGTCATCTAAAAAAAAAGCCTGGCTCCTTACCATCACTTTCCCTGATTCAGGGTAGACAGTTTCATTATGTTGAAAACTCAGAATAGGAAACCCAACAAATGCCTTGAATTCCATGTTTTTCTTACTAACTCCTTAGAAATGAAACTGTATGATCACCACAAGGAAGAATATATTGAGTTACCTTAGAAAATACTTGGCTAAAATATATTTGCTTGTGTACAGTGCTGATATTGTTAGAAATGTTATCCACTTTGTCCTGTAAATATGTTTTGGGAAGGAGAGGCAAGGATTCTTTACAAGAGATTATAACGATTTATGTATGCTGGGTCAGGCCTCATATATAAAAAGCCATCTTGCCTGTCATCTTAATAAGACAATTATGCAAGAAAAGTGAAGTTTACTTTTGGATCTTTCTGTCCTCAAATTATTTGTTTATAATTCAAAGAGGAATCCACATGCCTCTGATCTAGTCACATTTGCTTGCATGTTTGTCTGCAAACCTTGAAATATTTGTCCACCAAATGTTCAGTCCATGTCAAAAATGGGATTGAGATAAATGGCATTAATATAAGTGAATTTAGCAGCAAAGAAAATCATGAAATAAACAGTTACGTTAATCAGCTCTTGTAAGATGTCTCTCCAAAGCAGGTTGCCAGCGGTAAAATACTAAATGGGAAATTTCCAAGGTCCTTATTTTAAACACAGAGTTGTGACAATATTGAGGCATATCAATGGGTATGAATCGATTTGCCTGTGCCTGTTTGGTTTACAGTGACTGATTTTAATTGAGCAATTCACATTGTGAAAAAATCCTTTTTCTTCCTTCAAAAACTTACCCGTTACATGTAAATAAGAAAGTCAGACCTTTCAGAAAATCTTAGCTCAGAATCAAAGTGAAGCACGCTTCAGATTGCCCCGTTCCAGTCATGCTGCCTGTCAGCCTGATTCCCTCTTATACAAACTGCTTTATTGTCTTGACATCTGACAAGCTGTAATTTTCTGATAGGAAAACAATTTGAAGAAAAAAATAAAAATCCTGATCATTCCAGCTTCATTACCAGTCCTACATAGAATCATAGAATAGTTAGGGTTGGAAAGGACCTCAAGATCATCTAGTTCCATAATTAAAATATTACTCCCTTTGTTTACTGTCCAACCCCATATTTCTTATACGCTCAATAATTTTTTTTCAAGAAAGAAAATGTCTGTTGTAACATTTTTTTCTGAAGATATATGACAGCCCTTCTCACAGTTTATCAGGATTACTCTTTTTGAGATATTATATAGATAATTATGCAAGACTTCCTCAGAACCCTGGAGAATTTATTGTACTGCAGGCTAGAAAAGAAAGATAAAAAAAAATCTATTATATAGAGATAAACATCATTGGTAAAGATAAGAGAGGATGCTGTTTTATGTGTTGTTGCGGTTTTAAAACCTTTATATTCATTTGCCATATTCTGAATTACCGATTTAAATAAAAGGCCAACAGGTAATTGTATTCCTTTACTATAAGGAACACTTGAACTAATTTAAAGTAATGCAGAAAATTATCTAAAACCATGTAGTCAAATATACTAAGAGGGGTCAAACCTAGGGCAGCACTATTTAAATCAAATTGAATTCCATCTTGAGAATGGATTTCAAATAGATTTTTAATTGTGATATTTTGTCCACAGGGCATTCTATCACATACTTTTTGTTTGCGAATAAAATCTACCAGAACGTTTTCCATCAGGATAGTGCCAGGTCTCTCTTCATTGCAAAATTTCTGTATTGTGAAGTGTGTAAATATGTTCTGAGACTTTTATTATTTGCTCATTTTGCATATAGCTAATCTCTTGAGCCAAACACTGAACACTTCACAGGTCTGTTTCATTTCAGTAAACAGAAAAGCAAGAAACAAAGCAGTAGCAGTGGTTGGGTTTTTCCTCACACACTTGAAAGAATCTGCAAAGATGGTGCAGATGCTTTCCTGTAATCATGTGATCCGCAACAGGGAAAGCTGGTCCATGAAGCTGGCTTTGTGGCTGCACAGAACCTGCAGGAGGAGGATGCAACCCAGCACATGAAGGGCCCCATCACGTTATTGCTGTCTGTCAGTACTGCCTAGGCACAGAGAATGTCAAGCTAAGCATTTTCTTGGTATTGTGAGGGTTTTGGTGTACGGCATGGCAGTCTGGGAGGGAAAGTGCTTGTGACAGTACTGGACCTGCCCTGGAGAAGCTTCCTCCTGAAAGCAGGGCTGCTGAACTTTCAGCTTCCACTGTGCTTCCAGCTGCATTCAAGGACATTAGTGATCCCCTCTTCTATTCTTTTACTTCTATGTGGATCACAACCCCAGAAAGAAATGGGAAGGTGAGGTATAGCCATGAAAACAACAGGAAAGTTACTATGTTTCAAATACATTTTGCTATTTCCTCAAGCCTTATGCTAGTTGTCCTTACAGCTGGAAATCTAACCCCAGAAAATTAGGTTTGAAGTACATCAGAAGATGACACTGTAAATGAAGACAGGCTTTTAAATTATTTCCACTAATGATTCTGGAAAAGAAGTAAATGCTTTGCAAAAAGATGACATGCAGTATTTTTCAATTAAAGACAAAATCATATAACAATTTCAAAAGCTCAGGGACAAGTTCACCTTTTCTAAACACCCTTCTGGATAGATGGCAATAACTAAACTGGTCTATTGGTTTGTGAGATGTTTGGACAAAGCCTTGGCTAAATGAATAACTGTGAATGTACTTGTTAGTTTTCTACAAAAAAGACTTGCAGGAAAGGCTCATTCTTAAAACACTGGCAACTTACTTATAGTACTTTTGTTTACAATTACTCTTGCTTTACAGTTCTATTTCAGATATTTTGTCATGGCACTGAATTGGTTTCAGATGAGAGGGGTCATCATACATGAAATGTTTCATTTTAGGTATGACACACTTTGCTTTGTTAGAAACACTTTTTAAAGGCTACAAAGAGACATTATTTGCCTCGGAGTGTTCTTCCTAACAGTATGCAGTGAAAATTAGTACAATAGAGAGCTTTTGCATCGTTCTCATGTCATGTAACCTCTCAGAATAGAGTTGTAAATTTGCTTTATGTATGTTTATAAAGGACTCTAAAGTCACATGTTAATGGTCCAAATAGGCAGCTACTAATACAAAAATACAGCTGAAAATACAAAAATTAGTGCACTGATTGCAGCCAAGACACACTACAAGATTAGGACAGCTGGTTCTAGGTACTGGAGCAGAATTACAGTGCAATAACATAGATGAGGATGTTGGAAATCTATCCTGGTTGGATGGAAATTAGTCATAGAAGAGGCTTCTGCCAGTGTGCAAGTGATGCAGCTCCTCACATAGATAGGGACAGGAGTTGAGATCAGCACTTCGACAGCTGGGTTTAGAACTGGGCGTGATTCTGTGCCTACCAAACCAGTATCATCCTGCTCCAGCACAAGGCTGAATGTAGCAGATGTGCCAGAAGCTCTCATGACAAAATAACCATGTCATACAAATAGAGGATGTTGTAAAGCAAGCAAGATGGGTGTGAAAGACCTCTAATCATGAGAGTTCTTATACCCATACTAAATTTTATGTTTAAAGTTAAAATAGATAAATATCTTCCCTAAATCACCTAAATTATGTCCACAGATGGAAAAAAAAAAAAAAAGAAAAATGAAAAAAAAGAGGTCAAATTATTACTTATTTGCTCTAGCCTTTCCATATAAATACCTACACAAGTCAACTGAATCTGTTAAATTTAAAGGGCCTAGATGTGCTATTTTGTAAATACTTGATTTCTAAGCCAAAGTTCAGTTAAGTAAATGGGATTTTTTCCAAGGCAAGCTCCTAGCATAATGGATCAGTCCCTTCAATTGTTGTTAATTTGTGTATTGGTCACCAAGTAAACTTGGTACTGAGAGTGGCTGTTTTAAATTACTCTTATAAATATTCTGAAATACAATAAATATGTGTATATATATGTATATTAAAACTTCTATTATTTGCTTGACAGACTTGAATCAAAGGAGCCCTTCCTGTCTGTTGGGTAAGTAGGAATCTCTGTATTTCTCTGGATATTGATAAATTCAGCTACCATACAATATAATTTATGTTAAGAACAAACATCCTGTTTCAACACTATAATTATATCCTATAGCTAAGATTAGAAAAAGAAGTTATTAGTCAATAAAGTCAGCGGTTGTAGATATCTCCCTTCTTAAAAATAATAAGACATATGTTTTGCCTCTATTGACTAACCAAGATCTATACTAAAAGACATGTAGGAGTTAAATGTTTCATTGGAAGGTAGCTGGTTTAGTATTTTGTTTTCACTGATCATTCAGTCAGAAACCATTTTAAATATTGTCTATTCATAATTGATTGTTTCTTTTAAAATAAAAATTTTCTGCTTCTTTAATAACAGAAATTAAATCAAATTCATAAAATAGAAAAAAATCACATTTTTAGCCTAACTATAAATCATTACTCGGACTGGTGCATGACAGCTATTGTCTCCATAGTCTTATAACCACTTAAACAGTTATACGGTCCATATATTAAAATCATTTACTTTTTAAAAACTTATTTTGAAATGTGAGCTATTCTGAAAAAAACACCATTCCTTAATAAAATTTAGACCATTATGCATATTAAAGGTATCTGTCACTTCTGAATCCAAAGTTCACTTTTCATGCACCTTTTCCCTTTTAGCTTCTGTCTTTCAAACTTTATGACGTTTCTTAACATTCTCGCTTCCTGTTTTCCTTCAGAACTATATATTCATTGTCTCTTCATTCTTTTTTTAATTTGTTCACAACAGTATGCCATGCAAAATAGCCATTTAAGAGTTAATTTTACCATGTATTTATTAGTAGCTTCCAAATTTTTGTATTAACTGCTAATCAAAAAGTACTGAAGTGTCATGAAGTGCTAATTAAAGTTAGCAAAAAAAAGGAAGAGTGTCAGTTATTAACAGAGAAGCTCAATAAATCAGAGTAAGCAGGACCAAGACATGTCTGTTTCCATAGCGTGACTGTAACGTTGGTGTGGTTCAGTATATTTTGAATGATTTTCTTGCCATTTCTACTTTCTACCAACTCAAAATTATAAAAAAAAAAAATGAATTCTGGTTAAATGCAGGGTACTCTTAGTCTGCATGCTTTGAAATGTGCAAATTCATTATCAAATTTAGTCACTTCTGTTATTACCTTTAGTTGCTCCACTTTGTAACTTGTCTTATTGAGCTGTTTTTCTGGATTGTGCACTATCATAAAGAAGAGATTATCCGAAAATCTCAACTTTAAGATTAAAAAAGATGTCACATACCATTGTGGTTGAGGAGCAAACTTGAAAGCAAAAAATCCAGGAAGCAAATTGAAGATTTTCAATTATTTTAATAGTAATTGCCACAGAATAATATATCACACTTTTATAATTCTTGTCATGGTCTTAATAACTGTGCTAGCAATTTGATATTTGGGGATGTCTGCTTATGAGGAAGTGTTATGATTATGTTTTGGGTTTGGGTTTGTTTCCAGATGAGTGGATTTGTGACCACTGTGTAAATCCACATTACCTCCACATAACCACTGTATGTGTCTTTGTTACTAACCTGGATTCCATTTGGAAAATCTAATCTGAGCAAATAAACTTAGCCTCTTCCTGGAAGTTTCCTTGGATTATGGATTATTTTTTTGCAAGTTTGTAATGATAACAATGGAAAATACAAAAATTAGTCCCCACCTCTGTGCTACTTTTGCCTTTTACCGCAAAAAGCACCCCAAAGAAGGGATTTAGAGAGAGGTTAGAGCACCATGTTCTGAGGAGAGGCCCAAGCCAACACGGCACTAAATCAGAGAGAAATTTCTTCTAATTCTACAGTTACTGGGGGTTCATCTGTTCAGAGGATGAGCTGCTCCAAGACCTGTATCTAAGGTTTTAACCCAGACTGACAGCTGCAACCAGTAAATGTTTTCAGAAAAAAGGCTGACTTAGCCCCAGCTAGACTAAGACATGAGTGCCCTTAATATCTCTTGCAGCCAGAGTTGGCCAAGGCACCGATCTAAATTACTTTAGGTTGCGTACAGATGACTCTGTCCTGCACACCAGCTTTTCATTCATCTGCCTTTTTCAGCAGAGATTTCTTTCCACATTTTCTTTACACTGCCTGTAAGGGCTAATTCTGCTTTTTTCTTTTATTGTGCCTAAGGCAACGACTTCTTAATGCTTTTTTATTAATTCTTTTACTGGGGAAGGGAACATAAAGTGTGGCAGCCTAAGAAGCTCAAGGCTGCTACAGTTTATTGAGCTCTGCATGTATAGTCAGGGCTGCAGCCTTTCTGTGAGACACCCCGCAAAGGAAAAGTGGTTCTTAAAGTGGTGCGTTATTTTCCCACTTAGAAGCTAAGAGAAAGCAGACCCCAACTATTTGCTGTTGCAGTTTACATCTCAAATGCAGGGAGAGAATAGCTCCTGTACTCCCTTGGTAAAGGAAATTCTGTTTATCTTTTTTCGATGCAAAGTGCATAGCAATGGAAAAAAAAATCATGCTCCTTTACTCCCTGTGCAAGACAGGGGCATAATTTGGCACTGAAGTAACAGTAACTTCTTTAATGCAAGTCTCTAATGGTAGCAATCAGGAGTAAAATTTCATCAAGTATGCGATCTATTCAGATAAGAGTATCTGAATTCATTGTTATGATTTTGGGATAGAATACAAAATTGAATTTGAAATACATATTGCCTTTCTTTGTCTCTCAGAAGTGAAAATAAAATTCTTAAAGAAGGTTGAAATATCTCTTAACACTCCTGAACACCAAGTGTTAACCTGTAGAAGCACAGGATGCTTCTCCCCACAGGTGTTATTTCCATGATTCTGAGAATTTGTGTGCATGTTCAGTTTGGGCAAGAGAGTAAGAGAGTTGTCTGGACTTCCTCTTCATGTTATGTAGATTTCATGCTCATGTAGGGTTCGAATAAAATGAAGTCCTGCAAATAGCCAAAATGCCTGGAAGACTTTACCATTAGATGCAACAGTTCTGGTAAAACTCCACCAAAGTGAAGACTACTGACAATCCAACAAATTATGTTCATGCAGAAGTCCTTGAAAGATTGAGACCTAGAAAGAACAGGAAGTTCAACAGATAGAAAAAATGGTACTGCAAAAAAGGGCAACCTAGGAGCCAGCTCATATTAAGTTCATCCCACTTTGTGGCAAAGTGTGTATAATATTCAAAATATATATAAAATGCCAACAACTTTTAATTGTCCACATTTGCTCTCCATATTTGGCATTTTATTCTTAATAATAATGATGTACAATTATTCCTTCAACAAAACTGCTATCATTATTGATAAAAAATTGGATTGATAATACAGATACTAATCATTCACCCAGATATTTCACAGCAGCTGATTCATGTTAACTGTCTGCATGTAAAAGTGGAGCCCTTGATAAATTCCAGATATGCATTTGGTCATCAGTCTGAGCCCTAAAAGCCAAAACACGTTTTGTAGGACACATGCATTGCAGCATCTTTTAAGACCTGTAATAGTGTATATGCCAACAGAGATCATAATTATCTTGTAACTGTCTGGCACAGTAGAAATTTTTTCAGCTAATTCTTGTTTGTATCTAACTTTAATTGTATGTAACTTTCATAATAGCATCTCATCTTTAATGTATGCAGTGGTATAGAAAATCATAGAATCATAGAATAGTTAGGGTTGGAAAGGACCTTAAGATCATCTAGTTCCAATCCCCCTGCCACTGGCAGGGACACCTTACCCTAAATCATATCACCCAAGGCCTCTTCCAACCTGGTTGTGAACACTGCCAGGAATGGAGCATTCACAACCTCCCTGGGCAACCCATTCCAGTGCCTCACCACCCTAACAGGAAAGAATTTCCTTCTTATATCCAACCTAAATTTCCCCTGTTTCCCCATTACCCCTTGTCCTGTCACTACAGTCTCTAATGAAGAGTCCCTCTCCAGCATCCTCATAGGATCCCTTCAGATACTGGAATGCTGCTATGAGGTCTCCACGCAGCCTTCTCTTCTCCAGGCTGGACAGCCCCAACTTCCTCAGCCTGTCTTCATACGGGAGGTGCTCCAGTCCCCTGATCATCCTCCTGGCCCTCCTCTGGACTTGTTCCAAAAGTTCCATGTCCTTTTTATGTTGAGGACACCAGAACTGCACACAATACTCCAAGTGAGGTCTCACAAGAGCAGAGTAAAAGGGCAGGACCACCTCCTTCGACCTGCTGGTCACGCTCCTTTTAATGCAGCCCAGGATACAGTTGGCTTTCTGGGCTGCAAGCACACTGCCAGCTCATGTTCATTTTCTCATTGACCAGCACCCCCAAGTCCTTCTCCGCAGGGCTGCTCTGAATCTCTTCTCTGCCCAACCTGTAGCTGTGCCTGGGATTGCTCTGACCCAGGTGTAGGACCTTGCACTTGGCATGGTTAAACCTCATGAGGTTGGCATCAGCCCACCTCACAAGTGTGTCAAGGTCCCTGTGGATGGCATTCCTTCCCTCCAGCGTACCAACCGAACCACACAGCTTGGTGTCATCAGCAAACTTGCTGAGGGCGCACTCAATCCCACTGTCCATGTCAGCGACAAAGATGTTGAACAAGACCGGTCCCAACACTGATCCCTGAGGGACACCACTCGTTACTGGTCTCCAGCTGGACATTGAGCCGTTGACCACAACCCTTTGTGTGCGGCCATCTAGCCAGTTCTTTATCCAGTGAGTGGTCCATCCATCAAATTGATGTCTCTCCAGTTTAGAGACAAGGATGTCCTGTGGGACAGTGTCGAACGCTTTGCACAAGTCCAGGTAGATGACATCAACTGCTCTACCCCTGTCCATCAGTTCTGTAGCCCCATCATAGAAGGCCACCAAATTGGTCAGGCAGGATTTCCCCTTAGTGAAGCCCTGCTGGCTGTCACCAAGCACCTTGTTGTTTTTCATGTGCCTTAGCATGCCTTCCTGGAGAATCTGCTCCAATCTGCTCCAGGCACAGAGGTGAGACTGACTGG